TCACCTAATTCACCAGCAGTTACTTTACCAGATGAGCTTGAACCAACTTCATCGGCAGCAACCACTTTCAGCTTGTATTTCTAGACAATTGTCCCTTGGCGGGTTTCTTTGAATGAATTCATGAACTTGTCCTTCACGCTGCTCATCATCTGTTCAAGCTCTTGCCTATGTTCAGCCATCAATTTGTCCAGTGTGACTGGAATAATATTTCCTTCATGAACTTCAGATCCGGTTGAATTTGGAAGCTTGTTTTGAGGATCTGTTGACTTCGAAGCTTGCTTGTTGCCCGACATATTTATCGTGTCCCACTGGGTGTGCCAAAAGAGTGTTGATGCAAAAAACGAGGCCTGGGAGATCTACTTAACTGTAGTGCAAGTCCAAAAATCTCGCTTTTAGGTTCGTGAGCGTGCCAGTTGATTTGATCCTGCAATCAACAAGAGGCAAAGACAAAGAAACCGCGGTTAAATCCATAAATGATAGTCGATTGGCTAGTTGCCGATGACATATCATTCATCTCTGAGCCGATGTCATATTTGAATCGATCAGCAAATATAAATAAGTAAGTAAGGATTAAATCTACTCGATCGGCTGTAGATATCTACAATATGTAATCCTTATGTCGATATATACTTAAATCAAGTGATTGGGATAGATCGGTCGCGATGCCGAGACAGTATAAATCACATAGATCGAAATATATATTAACAACGAGATTATAGATGTTCATAGCATAGCCAATAAGATAGATCTAGCATGTATCGGCTAATACTTCGATACCACTCTATATTAAGATATTAAAGCAAGCAAAATACATCAAATAGAAGCCTAACATACTTTGTTGTACTAAGATCATTATATAAAGGGCAGATCTAGCATATCAATTAAGCACATGAAATATAAGGCTAAATCAGGTAAGATCAACTGAAACCCCGATACTACCCTAATCGACAACCGAAAAGCAGGCTAGAGATTGAGATTCTAATCACGACTTGTAAGGTCAAACTCAACTGATGCAGCTATAAGTATGAAAAGAAGGACAATATCTAGACAATCAAGCTGTTGGATGTTTCATAAAGTGGTGGATATCCTATATAATCTAAGTCAATGTTGGTATTTAACCTGATCGGCTACCTTCTAGCAACAGATATTAGCCGATTGAAGGTTAGATAACAATATTGCCTAAGATTATATAGAATATATGATAACTCAACGAATTACATAAATAAGATTATAGTATCATAAATATGGAAGCACTAATCTCGAGAACGTAAGCCGCTATAACAAGTTTTACCTCTAGTTAAAGATCGAAATCGATGCAGCTCAACCCGAAAGCAAGAACTCGTCGAAATAAAACGAAAGTAAAGGGTGGCGATGCGCCGAGATTGTATTTGAACGTATGTTTTTTTTATTACATGGGGCTCGGGGTCTATTTATACCCGAGATTACAAAATATGTTCGTGTCGGACACGACTCTTATCTCTAACAAACTCTAAGATACCATTAGTCTTTGTAGCAAACTCTTGCCCAAATATATCTCTAAGGAAATTACATGAAATATCCTAATTAATAGATACAATTGCCTTCTCAGGACTCAATCCATGCATGGCAATCCTCATGAAGCACATTAACTCAACCCGACAACGTGTACCACATCACATTGTCGGACTCGGCTCAATCGGCTAATCTTGTCCAACTCGGACTCTACCGATCCCAGTCGCAGCCGATTCGGACTTTAGACGATCCTCGCTCTGATTCCGGAACGATTTCCATCTTGGTTTCCGCCTCAGTTTTATCTCCATCTCCGATACTGAAATTACCAAATTTGGTTGTTAACAGCACGGAATACCGTTGTAGCACTTCACCTTCGGGTGACCCCAAAAGGATATCGAACTCAGGGAACGTGTGTAATCTACCTAAGGCTAAGACTATCCAAGGACAACAACTGATGATAGGTAGGCTAAGCTAGAGAGGACTTTCTATGTGTTTTAGTTACCTACGCTAAGCAAGATAATTCCCTATCTGTTGCTTCGGGCACCGACCCTTGCTGGTCTGCCAGCATGGTTCCGGCTATAGCTCTATGATGTATCCGATCGTGGAGAATTACTGGGACGGAATTCAGGGCTGTCACCACCTGCCGCCTACCTCTGACAAATCCGTGGGATACACAACAAACAAAGGTCACCTCTAACCTAGACACCACGTCTAAGTTATTAATTACTACTCTAATACTTGTACAGGAACTTCCTTCTTTATCCAGAGTCCTAGTACTAGAGCACTTAGTATGAATACTAAACAATGAACCCGCAAAGATGAAAATCTATCTTACTTAGACAAAGTAATTAAATAACATAAGAAAGGAACACGAATGCTTACTTTATAGAAGAAGTTCTCTGAACCCGGAGCAGAGTGTACCGAGGTAGAAGTCAGATGAGCGCCAAACTTCCGGGCACTCCTCCAGAGCTTCCCCTCCATTCTCTCCATCTCTGGCTGGCCATTTTTGGTCGCCGCGGGTTTCCTCCCAAGCCCTAACCCCTCTCCTCTCTCTCCTAGGGTGCCGTCGCCGCCCGTCCGTCCCTTCGCGTCGCCGATCATCACCGCTGCCTTCGCCTTCCGCTCCGGCCGCCATACCCGCCGGTGAGGTTCCCCTCTCCTCCCTCTTTCCCTTTCCCCCGTGTGCACCGCCGTTCTCCGCGCGTGCACCGCCGTCACCTTCGGCCGACGCCGCTGCCTTCCGCGCTGTCCGCCGCCGCCTCCCGCGCCGCCGGTTGCCGTCGCCGGCGACCGCATGCCGCCGCCGCTCGCCATGCTTAGCCGGTCGGCTTGAAGTCGAGCCGAGCCAGGCTGGCGCCTTCCTCCTCCCCTTTGAACCACCGCCTGGTGGGGCCCACCCGCCAGGCCACCTCCTCCTCCTGTTGTGTCGCTGACCCGTGGGTCCCGCATGTCCCCCCCCCATTGGATGATGTCAGCTGGGATGATTTATTGCGCAATAAATAATTAAGGTTTTTCTCTTTACAGTGAAAACACAGATAATCTTCTAAAAATCATATCTAATTCATCCGAGCTCCGATTAAGTCCATTCAAGTCTCAGTAAATTCATAAAAATGCATTGAATCCATTAAAAATGGTTTTGTTTCCTATTTCAGTAGACTTATAGCATGTTTTGCTTGTGTGCTTTGTTTGTCGCGTAGATTTCGGCTGTTTCGTCGATCCGCGGTTTCTCGAAGACGTTGCTGTGGTCTCATCAGTGCGAGAGCAAGGAAATTCATGCATTACAATTGATCATATTGTACCCAATTTACAAATGTCCCGCATTTCTATTAAATGTTGCATTGTTTTACAATATCATGTGGGATGGGTCCTACTACTCAGTCATATATTATTTACCTTATGCCATTGATAACTTGGGTATTAACATGATTAGATATTAGTTTAGGGAATGCTTAGCCATGCTTAGTTCAACTAGTACACAAAAGGGGAATCACATTAATGCATATACTTTGATTATTGGCATAGCTTTGGATTAGTGCCACCGCAATGGTGTTAGTTAATTAAAATACACTACATGGTGGGCTGTGGGTGCATGGTTTTGCTAGTCGTGCCCATGGCGATTAAGGACCGGTTCGCGGGATGCCCTGGAAGAACTTATCGTACTTACCACAAGCCAGCGTGGGCAATGGCTGGACTTGTAGTGTAGCTTTCCTCTAGCCGATGTACCCAGGCAAGGGTGGGCGTGATGGAGTTGGGTCGGCCGGGGTGTCCGGTTGATCGGCTTCCGAATTCACCGTGGCACGAGAGGGGACTGCCCGCTGCCTTGCGAGGAGTGGGGGTGAAACTTGAGGTGTGGTGCGATTGGTTAGAGGGGCTTATGCGAAGGGTCCTGTCACGGCCTCTTTCTGGTATGTCATGGTGGCATGTCGGCGTGCGGTAACGTGTCGTGGGGCTGTTTCTTGTGGGTACAGTTGTACACCTCTGATCAGAGTAAAACTATTCGAATAGTCGTGCCCGCGGTTATGGGCGGTCGACCAGATTCACTGTGATTAGTCTCACCCCTAGTTAGCTAATGAACTGGTGTAGTTCAGGTGGTTGGTTGGGCCTGTTGCAACGTGGTATAGTGTTGGACAGTGATTGGTTAATATTGATTAATTACTACAACTGTTTTACTGCTTTCAACTACTGCTTTTAAATGTCTGCTTTATTGCAAATGAACCTCTAGCCACAGTGGGTAGTACTCAGTCTTGCTCTCTTTTCCCCTACACCAGAGCAGAAGTTCTTCCCAGTTGGAGCCGTGTCGAAGAAGTTGGTTTTGTTGATGCCATCAAGGATGCCTGTGGAATGGAGTCGCCCACTGCAGGAGTCAAGTCTTCAGGCTTAGCTCGTTTTACCTTTTCCGCTGCATTTGTAATCTTTTATATTTTTGTAAGACGTGGATCTGTATGTCAATAATTATCGTTTGTGTACCCTGACTGGTCCTGGACAGGGGTTTAATGCACATTCAGCTTAGAAATTCTGGTTTGTGAATTTCTGGGCATGACAATAAGTTTGTGCACCTCGAGTACAAAACTAAAAAAAATACTCCCTCCATTTCAAAAAATTTTAGAAAAATGTAATAATATTTAACAAACATATTATCAAAATATATTCAATATTACATTTAATGAAACTAATATGTAATTTGGTATGGTAATATCGCTACTATTTTTTTATAAACTTAGGCAAATATAAAAATAAGTTTGACTAAAAGGAAAGGTCAATCTAACTTATAATATGAAATGTATAATTCTATAAATAAAACCCGGGTAGAATTATTTATAGAATTCTATGAAATATATAATTCTATAAATAAAACCAGCTTATGATAGCAAACTAGCAGCGGGGACCGCCAGGCTCCACCGCTGCATCTCTAGTACCAACTGCTATATTTACCATTATCGATACCTTAGAAAAATGATTTGTCATTGGAAAATTCTATTAGTTGTATAGTATTGTTGGCTCCACTATTGTAAACCAGTAATCTATAGGGTATGGTATTCATCTAATGATGGGTACAATAAGAATAAAGAATAATGTACGTCAAACAGTAATAATTTTACTCGACAATAAATTGAACGGAGGAATTAGCATTGTGTCCTTCAAGCACCTCCAATCTCGCTAATATGCAAACTAAATTAGCAGTTAGCAATACTGTAATACAGTGTAAGTATAATGGTCCTATGGCATGTGATCTGAAACTTGTGTAGGCTTGTTCGTTTCTGGCGCCGGACGGGGAGTGGTGTCGGTGTATCCGATGCCCTTCCTTTTCGTTGGGAAGAGCAAGAAGACGAACGTCGACATGAACGCCATCCCCAGGGGCAGGTTCTTGAGCAGCTCCTTGGTGTCGTTGCCGGCGTCGGGGAAGAAGCACTTGGTGAGCCCGACGTCGCTGAATGCCACGGTGAGGAACACCACCGCCGTGAAGAAGGCGTGCACGATGTCCAGCGGCCGCACCCGCAGCTCCCGTAGCTTGGTGCGCGACAACTCCTGCGCTTCCTCCTCCTCCCGGGACAAATTGAACACGTTGAACCCCCGCGGCGTGGCCATGCCGTAGTATAGCTTGCCACCGCGTCCGACGACGCTGTCCGTGAGGGAGAAGAAGATGGAGGAGGCGGTGAGGACGGCGACGAGACCAGCGGTGAGCCACCGGTTTGACCTGTAGCACTGGCCGTGGTTGGTGAAGGACGTGGACAGCGCCTGGTAGGCCAACGCCGTGCCCGTAGGCAGCAGCTGCGCCAGGTTCGCCGTGCTGGCCATAACCTTGTCAGTCATCTCCGGTGGCGGCCTAGCCGCCGGCAGCGCAGGCGCAGCTGTCGCCTTACGCTCGCCGACACCGTTGGGCATCAGCGTCGTGGCCATGCTTATATCTGCCTCAGGAGCTGCCTCGCCGTCACCATTGGTTTCTTGTGGTTGTGGCATATCAATCAGCTTGGTCTCAAGTGAGGATTCCATTACTTGGTTTTCCTTGTGCATTAACGAAATCCGGTTGATAATTATGTATAATACGTTACGTTCTTGAGGATTTATATAGGTGAATCGTTTGCAGTTTTTTCCACGCGTGGTTGGTACGCGTGCATTGGATTAAGAGGAAATGGTCAACCAGAGACTAAGCTGAGCTAGGTAGTTGGAAAGTTGGAATCATTCTTAGCTTTGGAATTGGTATACTAGTTGATCCTCCTCCCATCCTAAATTATTGGGCGCCCCATTTTTTTTTAAAATCAAAGTCGGTAATTTTTAACTAATGATCATACTAACCACATCTATAATAAGTATTATATATGTTATATCACTAGATTTATATTTTGAAGCACTTACATATGATGTTAATTTCATATTCATCGGAAACTTTACATAGAATAAATTAAAAGTCAAAGTATGCTGCTCATCTCTACAAATGGATTCATGCAATCCATACTGAAACCAAACCTTATGTTTCATACAGACTTTTCGAAGTCTTGAAATGTGATGTCGATGCTTCGCCGATGCGATCCATCGGCAGAGTTTTTTCCCATATGTTCTTTTACGTGCCAACGCATCATTTTAACTTGAGCTTTGTACCTAAAGAAATGCCTCAGCCGTGATATTATAGGGAAATATCGCATTACCTTAGCAGAAACTCTCGTCTTGGAAGGTTATCCGTCAACATCACCGGAGTCATCTCGTCTAATCTTATATTGTAACGCCATACAAACTGGGCATGTTTCTAAGTTCTCGTAATCCTCACCACAATAGAGGATATAATCGTTCGAATATGCGTGTATCTGATCTGTACTTCAAGTCCTAGAGGGCAGACTACCTGTTAGCTTCGTACGTTGTTTCGGGCCATTTATTTCCCTCCGGAAGAATATTCTTTATGAGTTTCAATAACTCACAAAATGCCTTGTCAGTCACACCATTTTTTTGCCTTCCATTGTAAGAATTCCAGCGTATTACCTAACTTTTTATGCCCTGTTCACAGCCTGGGTACAAGAACATTTTGTGGTCCGTTAACATACGCTCAAATTTCGTGACCTCCTTTTCACTTTCGTAGTCCTTCTTTGCGTCGTACAACATCCGACAAAAATCATCTGCACTGTCATTTTCTGCAACAGGCCCGCCTGTCGCGCCTGTTGTATTTTCTTCAAATTCACCGAATTGAGCCTAATCTGGAATGTTGTTATCTTTTTCTTCATTTTCAACCATTGGAAACTGTCAAGGTTACGGGTAGGGTATACCCTCTACCCTTCGATATACGTCACGTATCGATATGGTATGCTCACGAGTATACGGACGTGTTCGTCATACGTTAAGGAAATTCATCATGGAGTTCACAGGTAGAAGGAGTCCTATTCGGTCAAAACTGGGTCGTCATTGTGTCATGTTCGGTCCGGCTTCTCCGAGTCCTACTTGGAGACAGTTGACCTGCGATATAAAAGGGACCCCTCGGAAGGACCTAAGGCATCGAATCTCAGAGCCAACACATCCACCACAGCCTACGAAGCCGAAGCTTGTCAGAGCCAAGTCGCCGGGAGATCTAGTCGAATCAACTCGACTACGATCTCGTCGGTATCATCGAGTTCTGCTATTCCCTTTGTAATCTGTGGTTTCCACCATATAATCCCATATCAACTAGATTAGGGCTATTACCTGCCAAGGGGCCTGAACCAGTATAATCCCTGTTTCCTGTTTGCTTGATGTCGTACTACGTAGATCCTCGTACCAGCGTACCCCAATACCCTCTATATTCGGTCTACGGGTATCCCCCGTCGACAGTGGCGTGCCAGGTAGGGGGACTTGGTGCTCAAGGTTCTACTACTATGACATCCAGTTTCACCGACAACAGCGTTAACACCAATCTCAACCAAGGAGTTCCTACTTCAACAACACTGGTGTGGACTCAAGTCGGCGAAATCGTCTTTCCGGTTTACACCATAGTGCTGATCTCAGCTGGTCCGCCAATGGCCGGAAACGAGAACGCAGTGGCTAGAACCCGGGGTGACTCCATGTCGAAGAATCCAGCCGCCGAAGCGGAGATCGGAACGTCGACAACATCCGAGCCCGAGAAGGATCCTAGTGCGGCCAAGCCTTGTCTTTCCAACAGGAATCACGAGCCGATGAGGATTACTTCCGAGGTGACAAGGTCCTGGTGTCCTATCCACAAAACTAGGAAACACACCCTGCAAGCCTGGTGGGTCTTTCTCAACGTTCATGCTGAAATTCGTGCCTGCAAAGAGTGTGGAATTCAACATACCTCTCCAACTCGTGATGTCCATTGTCCTATTCACAAGACAAAAAATCACGACCTCTCGAGTTGCAAGGTCTTTCTCAGCGCCATGAAGACACCACCTCCTAAGGTCCAGCAGTCACGCATCCCCATCAGGGATGAAGACAAGGAACAAGGAGCGACGCCGATTTTAGATCGATTTGTTGGGGTAATCGACATCGATCCCCACGAACCATCAGTCTTGCACTTGCTCGAAGACTATGGATCATCGACAACGAGTACGCCGCGTGAGGTATTGGCTATTGACGATGTCGGCACGTCAGTGCGCACCAATGCGGAAGCGGAGAATCAAGTGACTGCTCCGACCCAGCACATCAGAGCCATCAACGCAATACTGAGGGAAACCCCCTACGATCCCATTCTGAACGACGATCAAGCACGTTGGATAGAACGACTACAGGAATCAGTGACCAACCTCAGCAACGTGTTCGAAGAGGCCGCTACCGCAGCACACCCAGAACAGCCACCAACTGGCGATGCTAATGGTGAAAACCCTGAACGGCGGGAATCGCCTCATCGAGCCACCCCTCCACCTCGCGGCACCTGCGATCTCCTCGATCACCTGAATGGCCGCCGAGAGGCACGACACACACGAGACAACGAGAACCGTTCCCGGCATCATGTCTCTTCACGGGCCATTCAAGCGAAGATCGAGGAGGCCATTCAAGCGAAGACCGAGACCGTGATAACCACCATAACCACGATGATCGCGAACGGCGGTGCTGGGCGATACTGGTCGAGGACATCGCCATAATAACGACGATGATGGAGATCGGCGCCGAGACAATAACGGGAGACGACGACAGGATTCTCGAGAACCCGGCTGACGTCCTCATAATCGTACGCCGGAACCAAGCGACCCATCATCATCGTCATCATCCTCGTCATCTTCATCATCAGATAGACATCCACGAAGGACTTATGATCGCCGACAACCCACCGCCCCAGCGCTAGGTGTAGAGCTTTCAGTCGTTCACTTCGGGATGTCCGATGGCTACTCAGAGATTATTCGAAATTGTCGATCGATGCGCTCATGCGGATGACGCACTGAACGACAAACCGAAGACCGGAGAAGAGAAGAAACCAGCCAAGGACGCACCTGAGTCAAGCAAGAAGAAAAATCGCAAGAGTGGGAAAAGGAAAGCTCAATCGGAAGTTCTCGCAACAGAATATGCGGACCCTCCCAAGCGCCCAGACCCACAAGGCAGCGACACGAATAAAGCATGGTGCCCCATACACAAGTCGGACATACATTCTCTAGAAGATTGCCTCGTTTTCAAAAAGTCGCTCGCAAAACACATGGCATCGGAAAAAGGCAAACGAGTACACGTGGTTGAGAAGGACGCTGAGGCGCCTACTCAGGAATCGGACTCAGCATACCCAGATTCCGATCTTCATGTCTCACACATCTTCGGAGGTTCCACGGCATACTCCTCAAAGCGAGAATACAAGAAAGTGGAGCGTGAAGTCTGTTCGACGTGGCAGGGGGCTACGCCAAAGATGAAGTGGTCCGAGCAGAAGATAGAATTCTCGGAAGAGGACCACCCCAAGATTGCTGTCATCCCAGGGCGATATCCGATCATGGTCGAACCCACTATTCGTAATATCAAGGTCGCACGAGTCCTGATCGACGGCGGCAGCTGAATCAACCTTCTCTTCACCAGTGCCTTGGACGCGATGGGGATCCCACGAAGCGAGTTGACACCCACTGATCAACCCTTCCATGGAATTACTCCTCAGTCATTGTCCAAATCATTGGGCAAAATTACGTTGCCTGTGACTTTCGGCCAAGCAAATAGCTTCCGAACGGAACAGATCACCTTTGATGTCACTGAATTCGATACAGCATATAATGCCATCATTGGGAGAACTGCACTCGCGAAGTTCATGGCCGCATCTCACTACGCGTATCAAGTGCTCAAGATGCCAGGACCGAAGGGAACAATCACTATTCAAGGGAACGCTAAGCTGGCAGTACAATGCGACAAGCGGAGCCTCGACATGGTCGAGCACACGCCTAGCCCACCCGCCACAGCTGAATCACCCAAGAAAGTGAGCAAAACAAACAAGACGCCGAAGCCGGACGGCGCAATCAAGATCGTTCCACTCTCCAGTGCCAACCCCGACAAGACCGTCAAGATCGGGGCATCACTAGGCGAGAAATAGGAACTCGCACTCATCACCTTCCTCCGCGACAATGCTGACGTGTTCGCTTGGCAGCCGTCTGACATGCCGGGGGTACCCAAGGAGGTGATTGAGCACAAACTCATGGTGCGACCCGATGCAAAGCCAGTAAAGCAAAAACTGCGGAGATTTGCACCAGATCGAAAACAAGCCATACGAGAAGAGCTCGACAAGCTTCTCAAAGCCGGTTTCACCAGAGAGGTACTCCATCCAGAGTGGCTAGCCAACCTAGTCATGGTACGGAAGGCCAATGGGAAGTGGAGAATGTGAGTCGATTTTACCGACCTCAACAAGGCGTGTCCCAAGGATCACTTTCCTCTTCCTCGAATAGACCAACTGGTGGACTCAACAGCCGGTTGCGAGTTGTTGAGCTTCCTCGACGCTTACTCCGGTTACCACCAAATAAGCATGGCAAAAGAGGACGAGGAGAAGACAGCATTCATCACGCCGTTTAGGGTATTCTGCTACGTTAAGATGCCATTCGGACTAATAACCGCAAGAAACACTCTCCAGTGCACGGTCCAAGGTGCACTTAGCGACCAGCTCGG